GATGAAAAACGGCACACCACCTCTCTCCTCCAAACAATGGAGGCGAGTCGAACACAGGAAGTCCTGAAGGCGTATCTTGCGTCCTTCAAGAAGCACAAAAAGAAGAAGAGGAGTAGAGCCTCTTACTCCAGCAGCCGCTAACACAAGAGTCCACAACATGAAGACCAAGACCCCGATGATCAAGGTCTTGGACCTTATGAGGGGGAGACAGAGGCCGTGGCTGCATAATACAGAATCTATTGTACCACCATCACCATCACCACAAACACAACCACCACCCTCAACCGAAGGAACCTAAGCAAGGGAACCAGAGGCTATGCTCTATGAAAATGTACAATATGTACATGTTCCCTTTGTTTCAACCCCAGAACCCATTGTGTTGAGTTCCTCAACCGATAAAGAGCCAATCACCCCACCAACAGAAATAAACCAACCTTCTTCACCCACACCAAACTTACCTTTAACACCTTCACCACCCCCTCGCACCATACAACCCTTCACCTTATCCATACTACTAGAACCAACAATAATCCAACCTTTATCACCCCAATAACCACAAACCCAAACAGAACCCCATGCACCAGAAACCACCCAAGCCAAACCTATTGAACCACAACCAACCCAAGCTGAACCAACTCAACAAGAAACCATACCCTCACCAACTTATACACAACCCTCAACCCAACCACCCGTTATGCATGCGGATACTCCCTCTTCATCAAGGCAACCTCCTCAGAGCCTGGTAGATGAGATTATACAGATCATAGAGTCGATGCGGAGACGTCCTGAATTGCCACCCAGGGAACCAATTATGATGGAAAACATCCATCAATACCTGTACCAAGACCGCGATGAAACTTTTACCATCAACCCTCCGATCTTATCGCCTGAGCCCATGGACCTCTTACACCATAGATTCATTAGACAGACCACACAAGCACATCAGGTTGTCTTCTCGAATGATAGGTTAAGGAGGGTCATGGATCTAAAAGTAAGGACATTTGCCAACCGAGCCATTCGATACATCGAGTGCACTATGGAGAGAGCACATGGGCAAATTAGTGTGTTCAACAAAAATGACCTCATTAATCTCAATCCATATGACTTGATTGAATTATACGCATACACGGCTCAAAGGCAGGACCACGGCATCAGGTATGGAATGGTGAACCGAGCGGTAGTAAAAATGATGGAAACCCTGGTGAACCAAATAGCCAAGGGTGATTTTGAAATTACTCTTTGTCTAGGCATTGAAAGACTATCCTGCGCTCCACCAAACGAAGACTTCCAAGGCCTGCAAGAGAAAAGATCTGCCTCAGTTCTAACTCAACCCGAACTTGGACTTGTTTACAAGAATGAGTTCGGGGTTAAAAAATTCTTTAGACTAACTGAGGCCTTCAAGTATTCATCGGATACACTTGAATAGTTTTAGAAAGTCATTAGAGAAAGACTGGGTAAAAATCATGTGCCAAGAGAAGAAGGGAGTCGACTCATTCATTAGATATCGACAGTCATCGGCTATCGAAGACTACTCATGCGCTTTAGAGAAATTTATCAAGGTAGCTCATAATGAGTTGTATTTTTTTGCCTTAATGTCTTTTGATTCCAGTATTGTAAGAATTTCATCATCTAATGAAAATTTGGAACTTGATGTTTTTCAATTAGATTAGTCTCTTTTCTTCATGGTTGTTTCTAGATTAGTCTATGTTTGTTATTTCATTACTTAGGGGGAGATTGTTAAACCCCATAATTCATAAAGTGAAAAAGTAATGAAAAACAATAAGTGATGAAGAACCAGGAGATCGTTGAAGACATCAAGGCAGAATTGACTAAGTCTGGAGCACAACCAGAGGACCGATGGATGACCAAGGATACGATGGAAAGAGCATTTTCATCGATCCTCTGGTCAACTAAACTTAAAGAATTATCCAGCAATTCATCCAGAAGCATGCAATGAAGACTTAAAGATAAAGATGATCCATCATACCATGAATGACAACTGGAGATGACAAGTCAACAGCTAGATTTCGAGTTTATCTTAATTACTAAAGTTTATCCATAGTTTAGATAAACGTTATATGTTAATAGAAGATTAGCTAAAAAGTCTCATTAGATAGTTATCTTCTTATTAGTATAAACAGGTGATTAGGCCTATTGGAAAAAGAGTCCTTTTTACGTTTTTCTTATTAATAAAGTGAAATCCTTGACGCTCAAGATTGTTCTTAATTGTTCATAATTTCTTCTTGAATGTTCATCACTTTGTTCATCAAATCACTATAATTTGGTTATTATTAACTAGATTATTAGTGTTGTTGAGAGATCTAGGATCAACAGATTGTCTCTTATGTAGCACAGAGTAGAGTTGGAGTACTTGTAATTCTGGTTGTCTCGAAAGAAGATCTTATTTTTATGCTTGTTTCACAACACCACTCCCACTTTTGGTTCCACCAATACCGTTCAGAAGGGGATGTTGTCGATGCCCTGCAGCTCTTCATTTGGTGCAGCGACAGTCAGTTGATCCACTCTTAGATCCAGAGCTAGTTGGAATTCCACCTTGCATCTGAAGTTGAGAAGGTCTGTCATTGTTTGGCAAATGACAGAGTTGACAACAACATATTTGACTGCCTTGTTCTTCTTGTGATCTGTAAAGTAGAACAGATGGAGAAGATCCCATGGATTCAGATTAATAAGGTCACAATCTATGAATCTACAGATCCGTCCACGAGACCTCTCTATTGTGTACTTGTAGAATACAATATGATTATGCATGAAGGTACGCTTCTTTATGTCGAGAACTTGCTTTATTCCATCAGCAAAGTGGACTGCAGTGATGGGCTGAGTGTAGCAATCTGGGAATCTCTGCCCAATGTGCTCTTGAACCATAGGATGAAGACTGATCTTCTGGACCAGTGTCTCTTCTCTTAGGTTGTAGAGGAACTGGTAGATCTCCTTACTGTCTGCCTTGTTCTTAATTGGTTTATCAAGGGGTGTTGGCGTGAACATGGCATCCATACTTTCCTTGATCCTTTGGACATGATCAGAAGGATGCTTCCATTTTTGCCTGCTGGTTGTGCCTTCTAAGTCCGCTCTGTTTGGCTTGACAGGTACCTGCTACCTCATAGCAGGAGTGACAACCCTGGTCCCTTAGCTCTATGTGTATGTTGATGTGGTGGAGGAGCAGCAACAGTGACTTCTTCTAGAGGAATGGCAAATGGAATATGCAAAAGTGATGGATCAGCCACATACACAACTACTAACTCTTCTTCTTCTTATGCTATGGTTGTAGGAGTATCCATGTCCATTACGTACTCTGTTGATGAGGACAGAGCCAGGTCTGAATCGTCTGATCCATAGATAGATAGAAGATCTATCACTTCTGTATCTTTTGTAGTCCGACTAGCTCTGACTGAGATGCCATGGGCATTTTTCCTTTGCGAAACCCTCTACATGATCTGGCGCTGGTTGGCTCTATGTTCTCTGCCTTGAAGGATCTTGAGCTGGTTGGCGTAGGGCAGAGGACGTTTGTGTAGAGGAGCCAGCCATAGGTGTTGCACTTGGAAAGGTTGTAGGATAGTTCTCCCCCTCTTGACGATTTTGAGGACCAGACAGGTCTGGGTCCTCTTCATCGTCAAGTCGTCTCCTCTTCGATGGTTCTGCACAAGGAGATGGATCCATTCGTCGCTTTGGCCTCTGGTCCTCTGCTAGAGGCATTGACTTGATCCTCTCCTCAATAACTTTGAGGAGTTCATCGATTGCGTTCCCAACCTTTCACATTTCATCGTCCGAACGGTAATTAAACTTGGCAAGAGTAGCGTTGATGGTCTCTGCTGCTTTTGTGGCTTTGTTATTGAAATCTGAAGTGATGTCTGTCACCTTCTACAGAAGTCTGTCACCCAGAGCATTCATTGCACTTTGTGTGACATAAATCACAGGTATGCTTAGAAGAATGAGGGACTGGTGTCATGAGATGTGGATGCCTCACCCCTCTGTATTGATGCAATAACCTGTTGCAAGGCCTCTACATTTCTTGCTGTCAATTCCATAAGTACATCCATACGAGAAGCATTCATCGAAGACTCAACTCTTAATACTGCCGAAGATGCTCGTATCTCATCCAGAGCAGGTGTAGAAGGAGACGGCTCTACACAGGCCATGATGAGTTTTAGCTCTTCCAAGGAGCACTGCATAGAAGTTAAAAGGGAATGGAACTCTTCCCTAATGACATATGTTGGTTGGGTGACCTCTGGCAACACATGAGACAGATTGAGTCCCCATTCCAGGGAAGCCTTCATTCACGACTTGATTAATGTTAGTCGGGGAAGGACTTCCAGAGGATCCTCGTGGTTCTTGTTGAGGAGAATTCACTACCTCTGTCCTCTCAGGGAGAGGATCCAAGGTTGGTTCAGAGCCAGCCAGAGGGCTCTCCATGAGTGGACTAAGAGACTGGTCGAGAGTCTCCAAGCCTTGTGCACCTATTCCTTGCTTTGAACAAGGTTGGGAGTCTACACGTGCAGAGGAAACGAATTCCTCTGTATGGGAAAGTGGCGTGATATGGGGAGACATATCACTTATATTTTCAAAGGTTGCACCCTTTTGAGAGGTTGTTCCCTGTGGTGAGGCTTCCCTTCGGCTGATATAACCAGAGGCAGAAGTGACCTCTGGTTAGATAGGTTGGCTTGGGTTTGAGGTGTGCACCTCTATTTCAATGACCTCCGTGTTCGACCACCGGAGTCAGATGATTCTTTTGCACTGAGAGTTGGGGTGGTAAAACGAGTGTGTCTATTTAGCCTAGGCTGCTCTGGCTCGCCCTGAGGCAGAGCAGCTTCTGCATCTCCTCCCTCTTCTTCCTCTTCTTCCTCCTCGCTCTTCTCTTCTTCTTCCTCACTTTCTTCTTTTGTCTCACTCTCTTTTTCTTCACTCTCTTCTTCTTCTTCCTCACTTTTCTCATTTGTATAAGACCTTCCAGCATCATCGTAGTGCTCTTGGTCATCCCCTTGGTTTCAACTAGAGGATTGAGCCAAGTGTTGACGAGTTTCTTCCTCTACTCTGAGTCTAGCCTCTTCCCTCAAACGAGCGATCTCTGTCTGGCGAGCTTTTTCTGCTCGCTCCTCCTCTGCTCTAACATGAGCAAGCTCAGTCAATTTCTCTTGCTTTGCTCGATCTGCCTCTTCCTTTTTCTTCCTCTCCCTCTCAACTTTCTTTTTCCTCGCCTCTTCTCGTTTTCTTTCTTTCTCTCTCGCTCGCTCTGCACTTACCCTCACCATCTCTCCTTCTACTTGAGGCCTTAATGTGTCCTTAGGTCTCTCATCTTCTTCGGCTATTCCTATGCGTAACGGGGTTCGAGACACTGGTTCTAGTGTCGTGTGTGTACGTTTGTGCGCTCTTTTGATCTCCTTTGACTTCATATACCTCATGAGCCTCTTTGCAATTGGCCTCTCTGTTGCATATCCTTCTTTGTTAACTGTAGGCCGGTATTGAGTGAGCATGTTCACCTTGTGAACAGGTAGACGGCCCACATCAATATTGTTGTCGTCGAGAGCAGGTCTTAGGAGTAGTCGATAGATAAGTCAAAGAAGATAACATACATGATTTGAAGAACATTTGTTGAGCACATGTCAAGGCTCCCTATCTTCCCTGTCAGCGATCTGTTGACCAATGGGAAAAGTGTGTACCACATTGGTGGTAGGTATTGACGGTGATATTGTGACGGGTACTGGATTGCCTTGTTGTACCCCAAAAAAATTTCAAAAAGGCCACTATCCCGTCGCTAGATGGGAGAGGGGCATACTCAGAAAGCTGTAGGTCGGTTATCGTTAGGATTTCAAGAACCCACGAAAACATGGACCTTGTAATACGAAATTTAACAAATTCCTTTGCGACAGAGTCATAAAAATCGCCAACGATTCCTCTTTGAGATTCAGTTACGGCACAAGATTGCCAGTATTATTGAATATAACTTTCAGGGACAAGCTCATCCGTATTTGTCAAGGCTGGGTTTAGGAAGTGATTTTGGAGGATATTGATGATGGGATGGTATTTTATGTCGATGTTTTCAAGTTGGAGGTGAAGGGCATGGTTATTGGGTTTGATAGGAAGAGGAACTAGGTTTTGACTGCTGTCTTCAACAGTTTTGTTGGTTCTGGTATATGTTTGGGAGTTTCCTGACTCGGAGGAGGACATGATTGCAGGTTTTGGGTGTAGAAGAAGATTAGAAAAAAATATAGGGTTTCAAGAAACAATACGTGTTTCGGACAATGGGTTTGAGGAAAGGGTTTATGGTACTTACTTGACAGATGGGATGAACTTTTGAAGACTGAATCGATCTTCGAATACCGGTTTGAGAGCTTTGAAGGTGTAACAATGGCAGTTGGAGGTTGAAGACGACGGGAGTTCTTGAATTTCTTTGTAAGCGGAAAAAATTATTTGGGGGTAAAAATTGTTTTAAATAGAGAAAGTAAAAAACACTTGAGTGTTTAGCGCCTCAAACGTCAGGTAAAAAACTAAAACGATTTTTCATAGCCTGTGGGGGCGTGCCGCCTGGACTGCCAGCTGCAAGTAGCGCCTCCCACTTTTGAAAAGATGAGCTCACTGGCGGTGATGTTTAATGTAGATGACTACTAATACAAAATTTAAAAATTAAAGAACCGTACGCCTTCTCAATAAAATTTTATATTTTAATTTTCAAAAAAATTTAATAAGTATAAATACTCTAGTTAGAGTGGAATAGATGTTTTGTAAAGAACCAAAGTACTACATACAGAGAAAGACAACATACCTTAGGATCTCATACAGAGACTTGAAATTAGGCTATACATGTTCTCTGTACAAAACTTGCGATGTTTAAAGGCAGAGGCTCTGTCTTACAATCATAAAAAGTTTTGAAGCAGAGGCTCTGTATAGTACATAGAGAGGCTCAGTGTGACATGATCTGGTGCTCCCCCTTGACTTGAGCTCTTTTTAAATGCTCCCCCTTGAACTATGCTTGGATCATATGTGATAAGAATGGCATATGCATAAGAATCAAGATACAGAGGCTCTGTATCATAAGATAACTAGGACTTGAGTAAGAGGCTCTGAATGTATTATGGAGAGGTTCTGTCTCATGGATTAATACAAATAACACAACAAAAACAGAAGTATGCATAAAGGGATGCAGAGGCTCTATATAGTGCATACAGATGCTCTGGCTTAGTGGGAATGATTTAGCATACCCAGCTTGCTAACCAGAAAGTTAAACCTCTTTTCATCAATAGCTTTTGTAAATATGTCAGCAAGTTGTAAATCTATACTAACAAAAAACATTTCAATAGTACCTTTCTCTACATGGTCCTTGATGAAATGATATTGAACATTAATGTGCTTTGTTTTTGTGTGTTGCACAGGATTGGCTGTGATTGCGATAGCACTTTATGGGTCACACAGAATTGGAATCTTCTCAAACTCTATGCCATAGTCTTTCAGTTGAGTCTTCATCCATATCACTTGGGAACAACAACTGGCTGCAGCTACATACACTGCTTCAGCTGTGGAAGTAGAGACGCAGTTCTGCTTCTTCGAGGTCCAGCTTATGATCTTGTCCGTAAGTAATTGGCAACTCCCTGATGTACTCTTTCGATCATGTTTACAACCTGCATGATCAGAATCTGTGTATGCAATAAGATCAAAACAAGAATACTTTGGATACCAAAAACCCAAAAATTGAGTCCCTTAAAGGTATCTAAAGATTCTTTTCACAGCCGAAAGGTGAGATTCCTTTGGGTTTGCTTGAAAACGAGCACAGAGACATGTGGAAACATGATGTCTGGTCTACTATCCGTGAGGTATTTTAGTGATCCAATCATTCCACGGTAAGTCTTAACATCCACCGGTTTTCTAGATGGATTTGTGTCAAGCTTAGTTCCCATAGCGATTGGTGTTCTCATGGTGGAAGAGTTATGGAGTTGCTATTTCTTTAATATGTCGAAGACATACTTAACTTGGCTAATGAAAATACCGTCCTCCCTCTATTTTACTTGCAAGCCGAGGGAGAAAGTTAATTCTCCCATCATGCTCATTTCAAACTCGCTCTTCCTTAATGCAGAGAACTTATCACAATGCCTCTAGTTCGTTGAACCAAAGGTAATGTCGTCCACATAGATCTGTACTAAGAGCATCTCACCTTTATATCTCTTATTAAACAAAGTAGTATCGATTTTACCTTTTTCAAAACCATTAGACAAGAGAAAAGACGAGAGACGTTCATACCAGGCTCGAGATGCTTGCTTAAGTCCATACAGAGCTTTGTCTAAGAAATGGACATATTCTGGATGTGTGCAGCTTTCAGACCCCGGATTTGTTGAACGTAGACTTCCTCCTTCAGTTTACCATTCAAGAAGGCTGACTTAACGTCCATTTGATAGACTCGAAATCCCTTATGAGTAGAGAAGGCTACGAACAAGCGTATAGCTTCTATCCTTGCTACTGGCGCACAGGCTTCGTCATAGTATATGCCTTCTTCCTAGCAATAACCTTTTGCTACGAGCCTAGATTTATTTCTCACAACGATCCCATCCTCATCCTTCTTGTTCCGGAAAACCCACTTACAGCCAATTGCAATTTTATCATTTGGTAAAGGTACAAGAGTCCATACCTTATTCCTCTCGAATTGTTGGAGCTCTTCTTGCATGGCATCGACCCAACTAGCATCTTGTAGGGCTTCATGTACTTTCTTAGGCTCTACCATGCTTAGGAAGTTTACGAGTAAACATTCATTAGCAATGGCAGCCTGTGTCTTTACGCCACTTGAAGGTTCACCAATGATCTGGTGAAGAGGATGATCCTTTGTCCATCTTGTTCTTGGGACAGATACAGAAGTGGGGGATGTTTGATCACATTCCATGCCATATTTGGCATTGAGCTCGTTGATGGCGAAGAAGGTTCTGCTTGCTCCCCCTTGGATGATGGTACAGAGTAACCAGGTGCAGAGCCAAAGGTATTATGCTCTGGTTCTACGAGACTGGGCTCTGATGCAGAGCTTGTTTGCTCTGGTCGTGGATTGATATGATCACCAGAGGAAGCAGGGGTGTGTGAAGGACCAGAGTCAGATGTACTTGTCGTTTGTGGTTCTTCACTTACACTCGCAAATTCATCTCTTGGTGCACGTACATAGATGTTGTTAAATCCCATAATTCATTATGTAAAAATTAATGAAAAGCAATAAGTGATGAAGAACCAGAAGACCGATGAAGACATCAAGAGAGAAACGGCTAAGTCTGGAGCACAACCAGAGGACCGATGGACGACCAAGGATGCGATAGAAAGAGCATCTCCATCGAACCTCTAGTGAACTATACTTAGAGTATTTTCCAGCAATTCATCCTGAAGCATGCGATGAAGACTTAAAGATAAGGATGATTCATCACACCATGAATGACAGCTGGAGATGACAAGTCAACTGCTAGACTTCGAGTTTATCTTTGATATTAAAGTTTATCCATAGTTTAGATAAACATTATCTGTTAATAAGAAGATTAGCTAAAATGTCTCACTAGACAGTTATCTTCGAATTAGCTTATTAGTATAAATAGGTGGTTAGCCCTATTGTAAAAATAAGCTTTTACGTTTTTCTCATTAATAAAGTGAAACCTTTGATGCTCAAGATTGTTCTTTATTGTTTATATTTCATTCTTGAGTGTTCATCACTTTCTCCATTAAAACACTATAATTTGGTTATTCTTAACTAGATTATTAGTGTTATTGAGAGATTTGGGATCAACAGATGTCTTAGTCACCATAGAAGTAAATAGGAGCCTGAGTTCCATTCCTTTGACTTCATTTGAGAATTGGAAGTCTGATTGTTAAGCTCGAGTCCAGAGCTGAGGTACTCTGAAGTCACTTGTTCTTTATCAGCGAATGAGACGTCGATGATTTCCATGACCGTCTTGGTTCGTTGATTGAAGACTCTGTATGTGTTGGTCACGGTTCTAGTATCTTCCTAAATCGAAACGTGGCGATGGCTGCTATGTTATAAGGGAAATAAGGTCGCACCTTCACCAAGGCAATTGCTTTTGGTGGAGTGGGTAAGCGCTTGATCCTAACAATTGGTATCAGAGCAGGTCACGGGTTYGAATCCCATGGTGTGCATAATATGCAAGGAGTGCATAATTATGAGAAAGGAATGCTGCACGGCCATTAACATCTAACGACGCTCTTATTAGTACCCGCAGATGCTGGGGGGATTGTTGGTCACGGTTCAGCATCTTCCTAAATCAAAATGTGGCGCTGGCTGCTACGCTATAAGGGAAATAAGTTTGCGCCTTCACCAAGCCAATTGCTTTTGGTGTAGTAGGTAAGCGCTTGATCCTAACAGTATGCCTTGGCTTTTGTGGAATAACCAAGGAACTTGCCTTCATCTGCTTTCTAATCAAACTTGCCAAGTTGATCTCGATCATTGAGGATGAAGCATCTGCAACCAAAGACATGCAAAAATTTAACGTTAGGCTTTCTT